CTTTGGCTTCCTGTGATAACTTCATTTGCAATTAATGAGTAACCAGATGTCACATATCAACTTGAAATTAAAATACGTTTCCAGTGTTCATGCACAGTCCAAAAAGGAGTCAAACAGGAGCTCTAAGAGCAAGACATGCATTAATGCACTGCTTTGCCTTCTGATAGTTCATTCCTCTTCTGAATGTGATTAAAACTCCTGTCTTGGTTTGTGAAGTAGAAAGAGCATGTCTGTCTAGAAGGACTGTGTCAGTAAGGTGGCAGGCGACACACAGTGCACCAGCTGCTCAGGACATTTCATCGCCACACCACGGCCATCACCTTCTCTGCTCACTCTCCCACTGTGGTTTCTCCCTTTCTCACCCTTGCATTCACCAAGTGATCTCTGCTTTTATTAGCCACCAACAAAGTTCTCAAATCCATCTCTCTCAGCATCAGCTCCACACCTCCTGAACCATAATCACAAGCTTACAGGATTTCCCTGTCTCCAAGAGGCAGTGAAAGCTCCCTTCCTCTTCCAGATAGCCCAGCCCATTGGGGGAGCACAACAGAAGGAAGAGAGAAGAATAATTTCCCACGAATCAGAAGAAACCAGTAAGTTGGGTTGATAGAAATAACTGAAACTGCCTAGTTTTTTAATTTTTAATTTCATTTAATTATAAATTATACATTTTTTAAATTTAATTATACCACAGTATACATGTGGAAGCCAGAGATAACTTGTAGGGATCCGTTCTCTCCTCCCACCATGTGGACCCCAAGGACAGAAATCAGCTCATTAGGCTTTGTGGGAAATGTCATTCCCCATTGAAGCAAAAGTCATTGCCCACTGAACCACTTCATCAGCCCCACTTCCTAAGTTTTTCTTTTTTGTGTGTGAGACTTGTCTTTAATGACTGAGCCATCTCTCTGGCCCCAACTTCCTAATTTTTACAAACAAATATTTTTGACTAGGGTCCCAATGCCCTAGTTTCTTTGCAGGAAGCAGTTCCAGCTGAATGTAATAGCTATTTGGGATCATTTGTTTATGTTTTTCTCCCCAATTAATTTTGATGCTTATCTCCTATACACTGAGTGAAACTTACAAGTCAAATTAAAAGAGTGCAAGTGGATTGTCATGTCCAACCCTTCTCTTCCAGTAGTGTGGACAAGGAGCTTATCTACATGGAGAGCCTGCCAAACATTTACATTTACTTCTGGAGCACTGGGTACTCATTGGATGCTAAGGAAGCATCCTTTGACCTTCCTGTCCTTTGAACGACAAATAAAGGAAGACATAGCTGCCTTGAGATGATTACAGTGTCAAGGAGGGAAATGACAAGTTAATCTTGTCAGCTACATAATAGCACAAAGCAGCACGCAAATGGTGTCCAATGAAACTGACTTAATACACAGTGACTTGCTTGACCCTGCACTTCTGCAGCATCTGATCCAATACTTCTTAATCAGATGCCATTGTGCCCTTAAAGGACACAATATATGGACACATTTCATTTGTAAAACAGGTCAAACAGTGGGAGGAAGGCTACCAGAGTCTGGTACCACTGAGAGTGCTAATTATAATTACAATACAAGGGATGGACCCCAATACACAGCTATTGAGACCAGAAGTCAACAGTGCTGCAAATGACTAGTCCTGGTCCATGCCTCCCCTCCTCACCGTTTCCCTCCCCTCCTCTCCCATCCCCTGCTCTCTTCTTTCCTTTTGTTTCATTTTCTTTATTCTTCATTACTTCTTTTCTTTAACTTTGATAATTTTTTTGTTTTTTAACTTTAAAGCAATAAGTTAACTATACACTGCATTTTTATACCCATAGATTTCGCACACACACACACACACACACAAACACAATTCTGTTGAGTGACCATTCAAAAGACCAAGCTGGTGTTGGGTTCAAGTTGGCTCAGTACTGGGAATTCCCTAACATCTGATCATGAGACCATTCTAGAAAAATAGTCTCTCTAAGCATTTTCCAGGACTCAAGGACTTCAGTCAGTCAAAGAGTTCAAGACAACTGAGGCCTATTGAAATGGCCTACAAATCTCCACTAGAGGGCAGAAGCCACCAGATCTGAAAGTCAAAGTCTGCCCTCTGGTGGCATTATGTCCATAGACACTAGGTGGACTTGAGGGCCACTGAGTAGTAGTACATTGTGAACCCTTTAGGGTCCAAACTGAATTGGCAATATTTGCATATAAATTCAACTTTCCATTCACTCCAAGTTCTTCTCTGTGGAACAGCACATTAAATAGAAATGCACTGAAGCACTGAAGAAAATTAAGCCAACTAGAAAAGTCAGGGAGACAGGATATACACAGTTAGGGGCAAATGACATACTATATGGGGACTGCCACTCGGCTTGATTTCCTGTTACTAAGTTGCTTTTTTAGCCCATCAGGACATAATGTAATTGTTTTCACAGCTAATGAATATTTCTGAGAAAGAACTTTCTAAATAGCAGTTATCAATAGACTTCTGTAAACAAAATTGTGAGAGCACAATTTTAATAGTTCATTGCCCTCAGACATTTCCTTCAAGTTCTTGTAGACTAGCCTAAGAAGAAAAGCACCAGGAAGTTTGAAAGACCAGCTAAACCAGAGGAAGCTTTACCCTCACCCCACCCTATTAAGATCTCTGTTTTCTCACTGTGGAGACACCAAGGAACTGCCCATCACAGATGCCTCTTCTGTATACTGAAGTGGAATGGGTAACATTTTAGTGAACATCAAGGTCAGAATTTGCAATTCCTGGGAGATAAACACGATCACTTGCAAAATATTTTCATTAAATATCAAAACAGCCTCTCTTGAACAAAGACTAAAACAGAAATGGGGGAAAGCCCATTAAGTACAGAGATGAACAGAAAATCAGAGAGATGTTTGCAAAATTAGGAATAATGAGGTAGGGTTTCAGCTGCAGCAGCATCTTAATACATAAAACCCGAATTACTGAGTAAACGAGGAATATAACTGTGTGTGTGTGTGTGTGTGTGTGTGTGTGTGTGTGTGTGTGTGTAGTGGAGATAGACTAGATCAAAATAAAAACAAGTTTCATACAACTGGAGTGGAAAGCCCATCTATAGAGTAAGGTCTGTGTCCAACACACATAGAAATATTGAATTAGTTGATGGGTAGAGTCTATTTACTGGAAACAAACCAACCCAAAAGTTTTGGGCAGGGTTACAATCCCCACTACATCTCCAAGTAATCATGCAATTGGGTAGTTTATTTATCATCTTTGTGCTTCCATAGACTTATGTTTAAAATGAAATTAAAATCAACCATATACTCTTAACATTAAGGTTAAATCAAATGAAGGGGAGAATAGTTGTAATATTACATACTCAGCAAATGCTATTTTTTAAAGATTTGATTATTCTATTTTATGCTTCTGTGTATTGTTGCTGGAGATTTCTTCTTGTCCCATCAGGACCCACCACCCTTGAGCCCCAAATAAGCACACAGATGCTATATTAATTATAAAATTGTTGACCGATGACTAGGACTTCTTATTGGCTAGCTCTGTCTTAATTGTTAACCAATTTCTATTAATCTATGTATTTCCACGTGGTCTTAGCTTACCAGAGAAGGGTCCAGACCTGTTACTCCTTTTGGGCAGCTACATCCATCTCTGCAGTCTTTCTCCTCCTACCTTTCCCAGAATTTCCCTTCTCTCCTAGTCACACCTATCTTCCTCCCTCCATTGGCCAAACAGTGTTTTATTCATCAACCAATAAGAGAAACATATATACAGAAGGACATCCCCAATCAATGTGTTCTGCCTGTAAGTGTGTGTGTGTACCATTTGAATGTCTGCTGCCTGCAATTGGTAGAAGAGGGCATTGGAGCCTTAGAGCTGGAGTTAGACAATTGTGAGTCACTTTGTTGGTGCTGGAAACCAAAAATGAGTCCTCTACAAGATTAACAAGTGCTTTGTAACCACTGAGCCATTTCTCCAGCTACCATCAAATGCTATCTATTATTACTATCATTAGATAATTACATATATAATCATTATAATGATATACTATTATATCCTTATTCCCAATATATTCTGATTCCTTATACCTATACTAAATTATTCAATAAAATTTTACATTTCATCACATTCTTAATTAAGCCTAGAAATTGAAATGGTACTAGAAGCTCTTTTAATCTAATATTATGAGATTATATAATGTTACTAACTCAATAAAGCCACATTAAAGACTCAATTACAAAAATAAAATAACAATGAACATTTGAAGTGCAGGTGATTACAAGATTAAATTGAGGAAACTAAACCGCCTCACTAAGCAGCATATACACCTTTGACTGGCAAATTATACCTGAACTAATCAAATGACAAAGACACCCTTAAAGGTCTGCACAAGTTCAAGCTGGAGCAGGTCCCAGTCTGAGATAGGAAAGAAGACAGCGGATCTGACCCCTAAGCAAGAAGTCTTCTGCAGTTTGTACCCTCTTCCAAAGGAGGTAACAGTTCCCACCAATGGAGTCTCACAGGCTATGTTACCACAGTTCAGTGCAGGCCTCCATGCCCAGGTGTAGCTGCCCAACACAAAACGAGCTCAATGGTGGTTTTGTAGACTTTTTGTCTCATATTGCTTTGGGCTTTTTTGTTGTTTGTTTTGTTTTACTTTATGTATTTGAGAGAGAAAGAAAGGGCATGGAATTGAGTGGTCAGGGAGGTGAGGAGAAATTTTGAGGAAATGGGGGAGTGTGAACAGAATATGCCATATAAAAATATGTTCTTAAAAAAGTCTTAAAAATACAGCATTCAGAGTCCAAACTTTACTTACAGCTCCTCATGTGAATTCTCTGTTGGGTTATCTGGCTTAACATTTGTACTTGTTTTCCTTTAACATGATTTCATGTTTTCACCTTTTAACAATTGCACAATACTCTACCGGTTGTGATAGTAACCTTTTCAGTATTACTTTATTACTGTATAAAATAGTGGAAAGACAAATAACTATGAATCTTTTATTTTGCTCATCACAGGGCAGACAGAGTTGTGAAGCTCATTAGAACTTCGTAAGAATGTAGCATTACTAATAATTTTGGACACCTTGAATATGAAGAGGTTTCAATTTTCAGAAAGCCAGCCTATTCCAACAGCCCCAGTTGTACCCAGAAGGCAACATTCAACTTTCAATCCACTCTAGGTAAATAGTCTGGCTTCATGTTGTAAGCAAACCAAAGACGTTCTGTTTACATAGTCCATCTCTCCAACTGTTGATCAAGGCTTGGAGAGCACCTTTGTTTGGATGTGGTTTTAAAAGTCAGAATTTCCTGCCAAAGCAGAAAGTCAAACTTATTGCTTTTTTCAGAGAAATACATACATAATACATATATACATACATACATGCCCTTTCTCTCTGTAAATAAACCTAATATTATTGTCATTATCAGAGGTAGTTTGATGTTACCTAGCAAAAAGTATATTTTAAGCCTTTTGTGTATTGGAACCCTTCTTCACAGTCTTTCATTTCCCTTGAAACAATTTAAATCAGAAATTACTGCCTTTTTGTTTCTGGAATGATCCCCAGAAATTGTGAGCGCCATGCTTCCGGTCCTCACATACTTCAGGGCCAGGGAGCAGCAAGCAAGGGTGAGCAGATGGGAAACGAAGGCCCACTTCTGTCTTGGAGAAAGACAGGGGATTTGCTTTCCAGCCAACTGTGGCAATAGGGAATGGGACAGGGATTTTTAAAGATAAGCTGGAAATTTCAAATTTTATGGGAGGTGTCTTATGTGGAAATATTTTCACTGGAGCAAACGAAAAAGCAACACTGTGGACCTGGCCAGAGCTCTGTTACAGAACAGACCTGGTCCCACAGCTGCCAACTGACTATGCCAACCACCTAATTTTACAACTGAGAAAACAGTCTTGAAGCCCTGGCAGGATGTTACAGACACCAATCCAATGTTTCTACATGACGTTAAATACTTGAAGCAAAATACCTATGGTTGCTAGACAGCCCTCTTGTTTCTGCATTCAACAAAAATCTGCAGCCCAGAAAATGGAGGCTGCTGGAAACACACAGAAGTATGGGGTGATGGACGACTGCCCTCTCAGACAGCCAGGCTGCCCTGTCTGCATGTGTCTGACACAAGCCTGACTTAGCCCGAGAACCACCCCAGATGACAGCCTGTGTGCCCTACTCTGCTGTCATTTCTCTTACTGTTCCACACAGAAACTTACCTTCCTCCTTTCATTTTCTACACTATAAAAGACACTGTTGTATGTATTTTCAGTGATGTGCCACCTTCATGTGTGTGAATACAAAACAGAATCTACAGTACTTGGATATTTGGCCAGACTTATGCCACATTGATTTATTGCCCCCTATTATATAACTGATGAAAAGATTACATTTGAAATGTCTTACTGAGTGCCAGAAATATTTGGTTTTGGGAGTGTTTTGTTTGTTTGTCTTTGTCAAGTATCTCTAAGGTATACTTCCCAAACAGGAAATTACCTAAATATTCATGTGACAAGGATACACACGGCTTCAATACCAGTTTATTTCCTAAATTCATTCTACTGACTACGTAGATTTGAATGAAGAGTTCCCCGAGGTAAGGACGGATTGGATGAGCAATCAACACTGCTTGTCAATCTAGCTTGCATAAAACTTCCTTAACACATTGGTTGGATTTTTTTTTCTGCTTGATTAAAAAAATATAGCTTAACTCAGGAGCAATTTTTAAATTCCATTAAAGAACAACATGTACATTTTTGTTAGCTTCTTGGAAGCTGAAAGAAGGCAGCTGATGGTTTTATGCATGGTATCTTCGATGGGAATAACTGGACTCTGAAAAAGTGCTGACTTCTAGGTAAATTGTATTTATATAAAGAGCAGGTGTTTTATTCTCTACCCAAACAGAGTTTTCATAAAAAAAAAATAGACAACCTAGCTGAAAAATGGTAATCTGGGACTGTGAACTTTCTTGCAGCTGACTCAGAAGGTGCCATGTTGAAATTGTTGGTGGGCCGGGCAGTGGTAGTGTACACTTCTAATCCTAGCACTAGGGAGGCAGGCAGATCTCTGTGAGTTCCAGACCAGCCTGGACTTCAGAGCAAGTTCCAGGACAGGAAGGCTGTTACATAGAGAAACCACGTCTTGGAAAAAAAAATTGTCGATGGCTGCTTTGCTGAGGAGTGTCAATCTGGTGTGAAGGAGTGTCAACCATTTGGAAGGCAGTAGAAGTTGCTCTGTGAGCCCAGACCAGGCAAGATGGTCCTTGTGAGCTAGAGCTGAATATCATGGCTAACCCTCTCCTGAAAAGAAAGCTTTGTCTAAGAGTTTTCGTTGTAAATAAACATGTGTTAGGCTGCAGGGTTCAAACAGCATCTAGGACAGAGTACTCTAGACTATGGCCAGGATCGTGATCAAAGCACTGAAAGTTTCACTTGGCATTTTCACCTCAGACATGGCATTTTGTCATCTCCAGAAGTACAATGTCAATCATTTACATCTCCCAAGTCTCTGCTTAAAATGCTCAGGCTTTCATCTAGGTTCTCGAATGCAATCCAGTTACAACAATAGCCATTTAAAAATCTTGTGCAGTAATTCCATTAACCGCCCCCCGCCCCCCCGCCCCGCCTGTTCATTGATGGAGTTGTTTTCCTTTTATGTTGACTCCAGTTTCCTGCTTCTTTGCTTGCCTGGAAGTTTTCTGATTAGTGTTAAACAGTGAAATGGCATCGTTGGGAATCGAGTATTCTTCTACAAGAAAGTAGTAACACCCTGGAATTGTTCTAGGAGCCATTTGTGATACAGGCAGTTTAATTCTTTGGGGCCTAGCTTTTACATTCTGTCAGTTGTAATTAGCACAGGGATAAGTATAGGAGTGGCTTTCTATGGATAACAGCTGCTGTTCACACCAGCCACAAAAGGACATCTCACCATTCATGGGCATCTGGTGACACACTGGGTCTTATTTCTTCAAGTCATTTTAGCCACTTACTCATTCACATGCAAGGAAACACAAAATGGCCCTTTGCAGATCTCAAGGCCTGTTCCCTGTACACTGTCCCTCTCTGAGACTCTCTTGTGGACTCAAGCCTCTTTGGCTTTTCTTAGCTCAAGATCTTTAATTTAGAAAGACTTTGCCTGGATTTACCTTCCCAGGCCAGGACGGTCCATCCTTAAAATACAGACAGACACACAGCAAACTTGGGCAATCTTTGGGGGGGGGTCTCTTTATTTGCTTCCCAGGGATCTCTCAGGATTATGGTTCTCTGTCACATAAGGTCTTGAAAACCACAGTTTTACCAGTGTGTCCAGGTGTTACCTTGTTTCTGGTGTGGCTGTAACTCTGGTTCCTGTGGCTCCACTTTGTCTGAAAGGAGATGTCAAAGAGCAAATCCTAACCCTGTTATTTGGTCTGGAAAGAACCTCTGAGCCTTCCTTGTACTCATTTCCAACATTTGCAGTAGGGTAATACAGCAATGATTCACCAATGTCACGTCTATATGGGAAATATTTCATAATCTATATAGTTATGCAAATGAATAACTGTTCATAGTGAATTCTTTCAAAAAGAACTATGGAACTGCAAGGTGATTCATCTGGTGCAGAGATTACTATTTGTAGTGGCTTCAGTGAGGAATCCCGCCCCCCCCATAGTCTCAGATATTTGAACACTCAGTCCCCAGTTGGTGGCAGAGAGTGCTGGAGGAAGTTCATCACTGGGGGTAGTCTATGAGACTAAAAACCCTCCCTACTTCAGTATGCTGTCTCTATTTTATACTTGCATTTGAATGTATAAGCCCTAGGCTTCCTGTCCCTAAAGCCATGCCTGATGATTGCTGCCATGCCTGGTTACCATGACGGATTCTTAACTCTAAAACCATAAGCCAAAATAAACTCTTCCTAACATTGCCATTGGTCACAGTGTTTTATCACAGTAACAGAAAAGTAACCAATACATCACACAAGAGCATGCATTTAGACCCCAAGCACTGGGAAGATGGAGACAGGAGTTCACTGGCTATCCAGTCTGGCCAAGTTGCTGATCTCCAGTGGTCTCAGTGGAAGACCCTGTCTCAAAAACTCAGGTGGAGAGCTACTAAAAGGGATTTCTTACCTCCACCTGCACACACACACATAACAATGTCAAAATCAGGGTCACATTAGTCTTTTCTCCTGTCCAAGCAGAGCCCATTGCTTTGGTTTTTTGCCTTCTTGTTCTTACCATGACACCTGCTGCTACAGGGCTTACAGGCCAGTCAACAACTTGCCTCCACCCAGAACCCATAGGAGATTAAATTTATGTGAAATATCTCAGAGAGGGTACAGCAACACAAGATATGGTTCAAACAACAGAGTCTATGTAGTTTTGCAACAATAAAAATTATTTCCTCATTTATACCTCAATTTAAGCAGATAATCATTTTTCAATAATCTACCAAGTGGAAATATGCATAGAACTATTAACTGAGGACCTGTGTATGGTTGTAGCACCCATTAAAGGTAGCTAGTAACTTCAACTCTAGGGTATCTGTTACCCTCTTCCTGGCTTCCAGGAACACATGCACTCGTGTGTGTGTACATATAAATATAATTTCAAATAAAATATTTTTAAAGTACCCTCCACATATCACCAGACAAATTTTGCCTAGTGTTTTATATAGTCTCTAAACTAGAATTCAAGAATAATTTTAGCAATTTTTACACATCCCAAATGACTCTACAGCAAAAAGAAACTGATTCATAGAGCAGTAATTTATCCTACCAAATACATGAAAGTAGTTAAGTGTTTCTTGGTTTTGTTTTGCATTTGGGCCTGTGGTTGGTGGCATATAAGGTAATAAATTTCATCACTGAAATGTGACATAATATCTGTTTTACACTACCCCAAACACTCCTTCTAGAGACTCTCACTCTATCATTCAAATAATGTTAGTGTATACTCGGACATAGTATCAGTAGAAACTGTAATTAGATATTAACACAATGTTCACTTATATGAAAAAACATGCTGCCAACAGTAGCAGTTAAAAATATCAGCAAGAGCTTTGGTGCTATATATTTGGTGGTTTGTAGCTTGGAAGAGAAGTGGTTAGAATATGTGGTGGTTTGTATATATAATTGGCTCCCATAAGCTCATAGGGAGTGGCACTGTTGGGAGGCACTTGTTGGAGAAAGTGCGTCAC